AATGAAGGAAGGAAAAAGAACTAATGACTAAGTTATATATGTGCACAGGGCACACTTCAGGAGGGCCAAGCACTCCGTTGTAGCACTGTGAGTAGTAGTACTTCGATGTATTTCTAACCGTTAATGATTATTGTTATCGACGTTATGATCTTTGTCATAAGAATTATGTTGACATGTATGTTATGTATGCTACGTAAATATTGTGAAATTATGGAAACATCAAAAAGAATTTGTGAAATATGCATCTCGAATTTGTGAAGTATGGATCACCAACTTGTGAAATATGAAACGATGTGGCCAAGGGCCATTTGTGAATTATAAATCTATGTGGCCAAGGGCCATTTGTGAAATATGAAGCTATGTGGCCAAGGGCCATTTGTGAAATATGAAGCTATGTGGCCAAGGGCCATTTGTGAAATATGAAGCTATGTGGCCAAGGGCCATTTGTGAAATATGAAGCTATGTGGCCAAGGGCCATTTGTGAAATATGAAGCTATGTGGCCAAGGGCCATTTGTGAAATATGAAGCTATGTGGCCAAGGGCCATTTGTGAAATATGAAGCTATGTGGCCAAGGGCCATTTGTGAAATATGAAGTTATGTGACCAAGGGCCATTTGTGAATTATGAATCTATGTGGCCAAGGGCCATTTGTGAATTATAAATCTATGTGGCCAAAGGCCATTTGTGAAATATGAAGCTATGTGGCCAAGGGCCATTTGTGAATTATAAATCTATGTGGCCAAAGGCCATTTGTGAAATATGAAGCTATGTGGCCAAGGGCCATTTGTGAATTATAAATCTATGTGGCCAAAGGCCATTTGTGAAATATGAAGCTATGTGGCCAAGGGCCATTTGTGAAATATGAAGTTATGTGACCAAGGGCCATATATGAAGATCAAACCTATGTGGCCAAGGGCCGACTTGTGACTTATGAAGCTATGAGGCCAAGGGCCAAACTTGTGAACTTGTGAATCCAAAGGGCCGAAGGCCGATGCGATAAGTTGTGACTCTATGAAACCCAAAGGCTATTGTGAATGTGAAAACCTCTCAGGCCAAGGGCCGAACTATGAAATTGTGAAACCGATAAAGTCATCTGTAATCTAATGAAAATGTGCTTACTTTTCGTTACTAATTATCAGGAATGTCCTGTCAACTTTACGTTAATTATGTCAACTCATGGGAATGATGTAACGGTTACCATTAGGACTCTATTAATTACAAGGCAAGGCAACTATGTTAACATATATGAATGATTAAACAAAGGTATATGCTATTGATTAATAGAGCACGTAAAGTAAGTCATTTACCCAAAAGAACTTATGTTCATTCTTGAATGATGGATTCTGAGTAAATATAAGAGTAGCTATGTGCATCCATATGAATTGAAGTTATTTTGCTATGATGATGTTGGCTTGTTTTTTAAATGTCTATCTAAGAGTGATGTATATAGTTCTCATGTTTTTGTATATGCCCAATAATAGGGCTGGGTCTGTATATATGTATGTATATAACCAATGTTCAGGTGTATGTTTTAGATTTTATTTGTTTGTTAAAAGTTTGTGATCCTGGCATGATAGTAGTAGCTCGATGGAGTTTGTTTCCAGTGTCAAATTTTTATATTTAGTGCTTCCGTTCAGGCCCCATATATATAGATATAAAACAGGTTAAGTGTCCGTTTCTGAAGTGGTCATGCCAAAACTTCTAGGGGCGGGTTTGGGGCGTGACAACTTAGGTGCGGAAACTCGTTATTGAATCTAACCTTGTCTTTTTATATAGATGTCTGGGTGCACTAGGCCTCGGGGTAGACCCCATTGGGGTGGCAGGAATATCCCCGTTCAACCTGAGATCCCTCCACAAGAGGAAGGAGTGGGTCAAAACAACATACCCGTTCCACCAGCCCAAGAAGCAATGGGGGCTTTGGCGAAGGAGATGGAAGGGGCTCTACGGGAGTCCATGGAAATATTGAGAGCCGAACAAGCAGCTAGGACCATTGAGGGGGAAACAAGAGCTTCCTTTCTGAAAAAGGAATTCTTTCGTTCTAATCCAGCCGAGTACAGTGGTGAGCCTGACCCAATGAAAGCTGATGAGTGGTTGGAGCAAATAGTCAAGTCTCTTGAGATCCTAGACATCCAAGAGCATGGATTGTGAGTGGCGTTGGCGGCCTACCAATTGAAGGGAGAGGCTAGACAATGGTGGAAATCCGTTAAGCATAGGGTCGAGCACACTTGGGAAGCATTTGTGCAAGCTTTCCATGACAAATTCCTCCCTCCCACGGCTAGGGAGTGATTGAGGGAACAATTTGAGCAACTATTGCAACTACATACCCCGGTGGTGAAATATGAGGCTAAACTCACTAGCTTATCTCGTTTTGTACCCGAATTGGTGGCTACTGAAGGAAGGAAATTCCTTGAATTTGAGAAAAGGTTGAGGCCGAAGATTTTGATGAAGGTGGTTGGCAACATGATCCGTGATTATGACCGATTAGTTGAAGCAGCAACTCATGTAGAGATCACAGTGGAGGCTGAAGAGGCAAGGCAAAAGTCTAAGAGATCAAGACAGTCTAATACCAGGAGTGGCAATGGTTCTTCCAAGAGATCCAAGGGTTCGTCATCATCTTGGCAATCATCTCCACAACAAGCCAAATCTTCAAGTTATATGTCGGGTGGGAGTTCGGGAAACATGCCCCGAGTTACTGGTGCATGTTTTAGGTGTGGCTAAATGGGTCACAAGGCTGCGGAGTGTGGACAGAAGGGGGGGGCACTGTCTCAGTTTGTACGGCCACAGGGTTAGTCTCAAAATAGGGGCCACCCACAATCTTCTTATCAATGTGGACAACGTGGGCATTTGAAGAAATTTTGTCCACAAAATTCTGGGGTTTCGGAACTGGTGGGATCTAGGCAGTCTGGAGGTTTACAGATGGGTCAAAGGCAGAGTCACCCATATCAATCAACTCAATTAGGGCAAGTACCCAGGGCAGTTCAAGGAGCTACATCTGTTCAGTCCACACCACACGCTTATGTTCCGAGGAGTGACATGGGGGATCAGAGGTCGCAAGGCAGAGTATATGTCGTCATTACTTCCGAGCCATCCACGGGGCCATCAAAGGTGAGAGGTACATTTCTTGTTTTCAATACTTGGGCTAAGGTGTTGATTGACACTGGAGCATCACATTCATTTATTGCTACGCCATTTGCATCATTGTTGGGGATTGAGAGTAGACAACTGTCGGCCTTGTTTACTGTAGAATCACCGGTGGGGGTCATTCTAACCCGGGAATGTCAGGAGTGTATTATTGAGGTAGCTGGTCGACAACTTTCGTTTGATTTTATATTGTTGGAAATGGCAAGTTTTGATGTTATTCTCGGAATGGATTGGTTGTTCACATATCGGGCGATAATAGATTGTCATCGGGAGTGGGTTACCGTGTGTACTACAAATGGTGATTGTTTCACATTTCTGGGGGATAGGTGTGATAAGTTCTTACCCTCCTCTTCTTACCTACGTGGCCGTGGGCAAATTAATTTTCTTTTAGCAACCTGAAGACGTCCCCGAACGTCCCGGGAGAGAATCCCGTTCTGTTCATATGGGCTCACTACAGTTCAGGACTCAAATGTCACGGTCCTGTATCTAATCTCGCAGAGTGCAATGCAAGACCGATGAATCATCAAAGAGTCCAAATCCGGCAAATCGTTTTTGAAAACAGATTTTTTTTTTGAAAGAAGTGCCAAACATTGACTGCTTTGCCAAATACAGAGTCGCCACCTAAATATTTTATTTTGGGAGAATTTTGGAAACCCTGACTCGTGCCTAAGGCCACGTGTCCGTCATCACCAAAGTTGCCTCGGCTCGGGAACTTGGGTACGATTGGGAAAGGTCACTTCGTGAGCACCCCCGCTCGCCCGATCAATGATTGGCCTCTATTAACTATGATATCGAGTTTTGAAAACATTATGTGCTCTTATTTCGGTTTATTAGCCTACAATTACTATGTGATGCGCGCAGCATATAAGTATAGACCGGATCGCCTGAATTGGAGCAAAACATTTCATGTTTGTTTTTGCAAGCGGTTTGCTACTCATAAGTAGGCTTAAAATGCAGATTTTACCACCCTCGGGTGCGCTTAGAAAACATGGTTTTGCCACTATCTAGTGGGCTTAAAACTCGCAATCAATGAATTGTTCCAATCCAAGTAATCCAACCTTCACCCACAGGCATTCAGGCAGCCATGTATAAACCAAACCAAAAAAACAAACTCAATTCATCACTCACACCTCACATACATGCAAGGATGCTAAAGCATAAACACTTACCGAGTACTTCGAGCCAAAGAAAGAAGCTAATTAGAAATCATGCATAAATCCTAACTATACTGAAATGCCTAATGCAACACATGTAAAAATGCAACTAAGATAGGCTCGACTATTCTAAGATGGCATATGAAATGCAACAATTGATACACGTATTCAACTTGGAATTGAAATACGATGCAATTAGTATGATGCACCGAGTCCGGTGCATGCAAAACAGATGAATGAATGCAAACATGCTATCATAAGTATGCTAATTGAAACATGCCATAAACTAACCATCATAAGCTGGTAAATGAAAGGGAGAAAGACGTGGGGTTGGAAGACATACATCACACACACGCACACTTATTACAACAATTGGCCCTTTCTCGGAGGGTCCAAATAAATATTACAGTCCGAATAAATAATTAACTACTCTAGCTAATTAAATATTACAAAACCCTAATTAATCAACAAATTAACTAGAAAAGCAAATAAATTAGCATGCAAGCTAAATGGACCACTTCAGCTCTGTTCCGAATGATGAAAGATGCATGCATGCTCGAGCCACAAGGATGAAGCATTCACTGGAGGAGCTAAGTATGTTGGCACAGGCATTTTTGCTGGGAGAATGGGCAATGTAGCTTCAAAATTAAGCATATGAATTACTTGCCTAATTGAAGGTCGAAGATTGTGATCAAGGTGAGCACACTAAAGCCCAACAATCATCAAGCATTCCATTTCTTCCTTAACAAAATTTGGGCATATCTTGGGATCTATTGCAGCTTCAAGAAGCCTATCAGTACCATAGAGGTCCCAAACCCACTCCACCATTCTCATTTGATTTTTTGGAACCTCCAGATCGATAGGTTTTCTTCCACAAGCTATCTCCAATGCCACAACTCCAAAACTGTAAACATCTGATTCCTTATTCACTTTACCTGTGATTAGGCATTCTGGTGCCATGTAGCCCCTAGTTCCTGCCAAAATATTTGTTTGAGAGTCTTTTCCATGGTCGACAAGCCTAGCTAATCCAAAATCCCCAAGTTTAGCATTGAAATTTGAATCTAACATGACATTGCTTGATTTTACATCCCTGTGCACCACACATTGTTCCCACTCTTCATGTAAATAGAGCAATGCCGAAGCTAGGCCTTGAGCAATTTCATACCTCATTGCCCATGTCAACAAGCTTTTTTCTTTGTACAGATGGTAATCTAAGCTTCCATTTTCCATGAACTCATAAACAAGTCGGAGTTCTCTTTTGTCATGACACCAACCAAGTAATTGCACCAAATTTCTATGTCTCAACCAACTAATGATCTTCACATCGGATGCGTACTCTTTTATTCCTTGTTTTGATCCCTTTGATATCCTCTTCACGGTAATGTAGGAATTCAATTCCCTCAAGAAACCTTTAAAAACCCCACCAAATCCTCCCTCTCCAAGCTTATGTTCCTCAGCAAAGCAATTCGTTGCTGTAGACATCCCCGAACACCTCGGGAGGATGAGTCCCGTTCTGTTCATTTGTGGGTCACTACAGTTCGGACTCAAATTGTCACGGTTCTAAATCTGAACCAAATAGTCCAAATCCGGCAAATCATTCTGGAAAACAGATTTTGAGAAAGAAGTGCCAAACATGGACTGCTCTGTCAGATACAGAGTCGCCACCTAAATATTTTATTTTGGGAGAATTTAGGAAACCCTGACTCGTTTACCTAAGGCCACGTGCCCGTCATCACCAAAGTTGCCTTGGCTCGGGAACTTGGGTACGATTGGGGAAGGTCACTTCGTGAGCACCCCCGCTCGCCCGATCAAAGATCGGCCACTACTTTTGCCACTCTCAAGTGGGCTTAAAACTCACAGTCAATGCATTATTCCAATTCAGATAATCCAACCTTCACCCACAGGCATTCAGGCAGTTATATCACATAAGCAGTTAGCCTCATGGTAAGCATGCTATCATGGCAGTCACTCACACGCATGCAAGGATGTTAAAGCATAAACACTTACCAAGTACTCCAAGCCAAAACATAAGCTAATTAGAAATCATGCATGAATCCTAACTATACTGAAATGCCTAATGCAACACATGCAAAAATGCAACTAAGATAGGCTCGACTATTCTAAGATGGCATATGAAATGCAACAAATGATACACGTATTCAACTTGGAATTGAAATACGATGCAATTAGTATGATGCACCGAGTCCGGTGCATACAAAACAGATGAATGAATGCAAACATGCTATCATAAGTATGCTAATTGAAACATGCCATAAACTAACCATCATAAGCTGGTAAATAAAAGGGAGAAAGACGTGGGATTGGAAGACATACATCACACACACGCACACTTATTACAACAATTGGCCCTTTCTCGGAGGGTCCAAATAAATAATACAGTCCGAATAAATAATTAACTACTCTAGCTAATTAAATATTACAAAACCCTAATTAATCAACAAATTAACTAGAAAAGCAAATAAATTAGCATGCAAGCTAAATGGACCACTTCAGCTCTGTTCCGAATGATGAAAGATGCATGCATGCTCGAGCCACCTCGTCAGTAAATTCCATCGCAATGCCTCGCCTCACCCTTGTTTGCAATTGATCTCAGAAACTTGCACAAAGCTCCAGAAGGCTGAAACTCCACATTGGGAAGGCCACCGACCAGTTATTAGCATGGGAGACCACCTGCCGACCACCCTTTGTGGTGGAGACCAAAGACAGTGGTCGGCCTGCCAAAAAATCTGGTCGACCGACTAGTTTCCATCTCTGGTTTCTGGTTTTTCTGCAACAAAGGCAAGAGAGAGAAAAGGCAATGTATTTTCAACAAATGTGTGCATGACCACTCTTCCTATCATTGCATAAGCTCTAGGGAGTGTAGTCCTCGATCCTCATGCCATCAATCACGTATCTCGATGCATAATGGCCGAGGAGTCGAATTGCACGACTCAATGGGACATGAATACACAGATAAGCAACTTAAGCCAACGACTCTATCATGGATAGTCAAGAGTGTCGGTGACCAAGAATTGAGGCACGATTCGTCACTTGGAGTATGAAACATCTCTCATTTCCCGTGTTTGGACTAAACCCTACTCCAAACACAATGCAATATGCATGACATGCATGAATGCAACTCTAACATGCAACCTAGATGCAAATGCCACTGAATGACGCAAACATGCAAGGGATGACATGCAAACATGCTACTAGCATACACAATGCTATGAAATAATCAATGGCATACTCAAAGCATGATGATTCTGTATGGCATACGCAATGCATATGAAGATTAACAAACACAACGAAACGAGCAAGGCATACACAATGCAATGATCAAATCATGCAACAACGTGAACTAAATGGCATACAAAATTGTAGACACCCCATTTTTGACCGTCCTCAAGACTTGGACGTCACCATTGGAACACTTGGTGATTACCCTTGTTTGTGTTCGTCTTGAGTATATGCATGACATGCATGAATGCAACTCTAACATGCAACCTAGATGCAAATGCCACTGAATGACACAAACATGCAAGGGATGACATGAAAACATGCTACTAGCATACACAATGCTATGAAATAATCAATGGCATACTTAAAGCATGATGATTCTATATGGCATACGCAATGCATATGAAGATTAACAAACACAACGAAACGAGCAAGGCATACACAATGCAATGATCAAATCATGCAACAACGTGAACTAAATGGCATACAAAATTGTAGACACCCCATTTTTGACCGTCCTCAAGACTTGGACGTCACCATTGGAACACTTGGTGATTACCCTTGTTTGTGTTCGTCTTGAGTTCCCGGAGGTCTCGGTTGCGCGCCTTGCCTCAGGACCTCTCGACTCGACCGTGTTGTGTTTGGTTTTGCACCAAACACTTGCGTTTTTCCTTGGAGGGGTAGGGAATGCCTTGTGAGGCATCCGCACACATCACCGGCCTTGGCTTGAGGCCACCGGCCAGTGATTTTATGCCATCGGCAATGTATATTGCCGGTCGGCACTCTTTGTTGCCGGTCGGCCGTTTATTTTGCCAAAATGTCAATTTTGAATGGCCGATCACTGTTCATCTACTTTTAGTAGATATTTTGTGCCAGCTGTGATAGCTGGCACCCACTCTGTTCCCCTCCATACACGTGTATGGAGGGATTTCCCTCTAAGCGAGCTTGTTTGGTAAGCTTTGCAAGGGGGAACTTCTATAAGAGAAGGGCTCTCCTCCTTTTTCTATGGTTGGTGATTTTGGAAAGAAAAACCAGAGCTTACACATATACATACGCACTCTCTCTCTATATTTCCCTCTCTCTCCTCCCTTGTGTGTGTTTTGTGGCCCAAAAGTGCATTTTTACCTTAGTTTTGCACTAACACACACACTACCACACCTTACTTCGACTTTGAGGGACTTTGAGGGTTGTTTGTTGAGGTTTTGGACTAATTTTGGTCAGTAGAGGGTGGCTGGACCATCTGTTCTTCAAGGGTTTTTGAAGGGTAATCACTTTACTTTAGTTTCCCCAATCTTGCATTGGCTTTTGACCTATCTTGCATATTTATTTGAGCTTTGTGTATAACTGAAAAAGTCTTATATTTTCATGCTTAAGATCTTTCTTTAAGGGTGTTTTGGAATTGGGGGTCAAAATCCCCCTCTTAGGCCTCTTTTGGCCTCTTTTGGTGTTTTTTTTTTGTAAGCCTTATTTACTTTGTTGTATTAGCCTTCTCACCACTGGTGGATTTTCAATGGTGAAGAAGATGGTTTGAAGTCTTGTATAGGGGAGGGACACCCCTCTCCCTTTGTGTCTCATTTGTGCATGTTTTTTGCTCATAAAGGTAGCATATATGCTTGGTTGTTTTAGGCTCCATATCAGATGTTTTTGGTGCTATTTAGGTCACATGTTATCTCTGTTTTCAATCAGATTTGCGGCCCTTTGCATGCTTAACATACTTGCTTTGTATTCCCTTGTTTGTGCCTAGAAATGCGTCATGACTTTTGATCAATATGCTCTCGTATTTTGACTTTACTTTGTGAAGTTCTTGGCCATATTTTGTCATGCATGAGGTCTGTTGGCCACTGATTTGGACTTGTTTAGCATGCTTGATATAGTTGCTTTGCATTTTGGATCATGAATCTTGAGTGTATGGATCATTAACATGCCTAGCTTAGCCCATTATCATCATTTGGCATTAGTTGAGATCATATTTCAGTCCATAGAATGTGGCCTTACATTGTCCTTTGTGTCTCTTTTAATGCCTCGAAGTGTTGTGTTTTCATGCCTTGAAATGCGCATTGTGTATGCGTATGTGCTTGGGTCATTTTGGGGCTACCATACCAGTGGATTTTGGAGCTCATTTTGCATGCTAAAATTCTGTTTTGGTTATATGGTTCATGCCATGCTTGTTTGGGTTAGTAGCAGTGGAATGCCCTTTGTTATGCCTTAGCCTTGGCCCCCTTTAGACTTGCATGTTTGTAGTGCATTTCGTCCATCGCTTGAGGCACTTTTAGCCACTGTTTTTGGAGATGTTTGAGGCCTCCCATTTTAGTCTAAGTCCTTTGGTTGTATGCTTGACTTGTTCCCTCTAATTGCATGCTCGCATTGTACCATATTAGCATTACATGATGAGTTGCATTGTGGCATTGAATGTTAGGAACATTGTATGTTAGCCATGATATGTTGCATCACATTCGGCATGCCTTGTACTTTAGCGTCATGTTGCATTTTTGAGCCATGTTTGCATAACATGCATTGCATTTCTTAGTTTGGGGTGTCAAACCGGGCATGGGGATTGGGCAGTGTTTGTACTTCAAGTGACAAAACATGCCTCAAGTCTCGGTCGCCAATCCCCTTGACTCCAACATGATAGGGTGTTGGTATTCACGTGTTTTGTTTGCATGCATTTTACATTGAATTGCAACCTCGGCTCCTTAGGCCATCATACATCAAAATGTATGATTGATGGCCCGAGGGTCGAGGGGCACGCTCCCTTGAGTCTCTTGTATGATTGGGAGTGTGACCAAGCTCACATTAGCTCAAGATTCCATGCCATGTACTGCTTTGCCCTCTGCTGCTGTCAACTGCAGGTCCCAGCAGGAATTCCGATCGGCAGTGTTTAATGCTGACCGGCAAATAATATGTGGCCGATATACTTGAAAACAGCCGATGGAAATTTCCCATGGCCGGTGGTTATTTCTCTTAGCTGATGGTGTTCAACAGTGTGCATAGAACATATCCCAAGACCTTGGCAATTTTTCAGAGGAGCAGGGCAGCATTAACAGAGGTAGCAGTGGCATGGTACGGGTTTCCGGGCAAGATGGATCGAGCATGCATCATTCGCGTATCCCGAGGCACGGCTGCGGCCACCTTCTTTCTGCATTTATTTTGTTAATTAATTAAGGGTCTGTAATAATTAATTAGCTAGGATAGTTGATTTGTTATTCGGACTGTATTATTCTTTCGGACCCTCCGAGTGAGGG